TGAAATCAGTGTGACATGCTACGTGGATATTTTATCTTTCATACAGAAGGCTAAGTTGTCTCGATTGTTTGTAATGTGGAGCTAGTGGAGAAAGTGAATTCCGATGAGGTGTGCAAAATATAGAGACCAGTATTCATCATGATGAGGTTATAACATCAATCTACCCATGTCTGTGTAGCATAACATTTTGTTTGCCTACGGCTCCTTACGATATAGCAGGATGTAACAAATCAGTGATATGGATGATACTTTTCCTTGTTAACCTCGTCTACGAATCATTTTCGTAACCTTGTACCGGTTTTAACTTCCTACCAGGAAATCCTATTACCAACAGATCTTGATAATTATACAGAAAAAGAGATAGTTCATAACTACTTGAGCCACAGAGTTAAAAATAAAAAGAATAAATAAAATAACATAAAAGCATCAGATCACTGTGCCTCATTATTATATTCTGTAAATGAACATTGCAGCTAACAATTTGGTTATTCTGAATTTCCTTTATTCATAAGATTAAATGTCCATTAGTTATCTTACTACTGAAATGTCTTCATTAACCCACATAAGTGCAGGTGTACATTTAGTCTTCTAATATAAAAAAGTCTGCGTAAACATACCTTTGTTTTATCCAAAAAGTATCTGCCGAGTCCTTGTTCGGCATTAAACAAGAATAATTTCTGTTCTACTCCTCGCCCAGTTCTCTTTATTACTCTTTTTTCAGCACCTTATTCCATTCCTTATATATTAGTCTGGATATTTGCCGAAGACTTGGTTGATTTACTCAGGAGCCTGTAAATTTATTAGCTGATGAGTATCAACCAGATCTCTGCATATTTACTTCATCAATTCTTGTTACATGCAGACTTGGCTCTACTTTGCATTGTTTCGCAGTCATTAAGAAGCTCGTCATAACGCAACCTTCGTAACTTGCACCAATTATTCGCTTTGTATATTGTAGCGTCTACAAAATTATCTATCACTGTATGTGAAAAATTTTAGCCATCAACATGAAGTACTACCATCAACATCGTACTACTAAGAAATTACAACGCAATGGTTTTTTGTGTTCTGCCGTTAATAGTGAATATGCGTTGTTTCGAAGTCTGAAAGTAGTGTCGTGGTTCATAATTGGGCGGTATTTTAGGAACGAGAGACCATTTATCAGTTTATAGAGAAGTATTAGGTTGTTTGTCAACCGACGGCGCCAAAGAGGTTCTAAGGAAAGATGTTTGTATCTTTCTGTGTATTCGAGGTTATGGCTCCAACCGGACAGTCGCCGGATGAAGCTTCTCTGGACATTTTCTACTCTTATCTTGGCCACGATATTCATTTTTGAGAAGATAGGAGAGCAATATTCAAGTGAGGGCCTCACACACATTTTGAAGAGTGTAAGCTTACCCTCAATTGTCAAGAAGTTCTTATTTAGAAACTCAATTATTCGTCTGGATTTAAAGTTGAGGCATGTTTTTCGAATTTCAGGCTTTTGGAGTAACGGGTACTTAGATCATGCGCTGATATAAATGTCTGAACCCTACATTTTTTTTAAGTACAGTGGTATATCATGGTGATGCTTACTAAAGTGCATAATGCCACATTTGTTGTGGTTAAACGGTAGTTGACATGCCTCGCTCCAGGTAGTTAAGTTGTCAAGATCACTCTGAGTCCTGGCTACATTTTAGTCCAGATCTTCAAGCTTATATCTGTATACTATTTTCAGATCATCAGCATATAAGTATGCTCTTCCAAATTTTATAGTAATACATATATCGTTTATGTACATAAGGAACAAAAGTGGACCTAGTACACTTCCCTCGATAACTTCACTGGTTATTGGTCTTAGTGATGAAAGACAATCGTTGTACTTATTCGGAGATACAGGCAGTTCGAATGATGTCAATTAGTCTAGGTTACGGGATAATATTAAAAATAAGGGTGTAGAAGAGCTCATTAACTTAGTGTATGATCGTGAAGAGTATGTGCCCGCAGCTACAACAGTGAAGAAAGACGTTGAGTTATTATTCAGTGTAATATACAACAACTAAAAAGAACACGTTCACAGTAGCATGTTGTCCTATGAAACCGTCAAATATTTCATATGTCAGAAATGGGTTTGAAGGTGGTACTTCTGTAATATATTAAGTATGATCAGTCTAAATGGACATAAAATATTTCATGTTATAAATCACCATTAACGTAGTAGATCATCAAGTGAAAAGGTGAAACTCGCTTGAATCATATTTAGAATTCGCCGTTATTTCGGGATTCCGTGTTTTCCGTTATGTTCTGGATAGGTATTACCACTGGTCATTGTGCGAGATGAAATACACACGTTAGGACATAATAATGATACATTTATAACAAAAAAAACAACGTGCTACCTGAGGCATCCTAGTTTATTGGCAAGATCAAAGTATTATATCTATTGCCACACTTACTATAGGAAACCGCTGAGTCGCAATAATGGTAATATACTTCGAGCAAACCTGTTGTACTCCATTTTGAAGGAACGATGAATGAAATGCGATGAGATTCCCAGCACTTTATTGCAAGTAGGCTAGGTATTCAGTAGAGTTCTGAGGTTATATTACTAAATCGAGAGCGATTGGTGGAATGGTGTATATGGAGGCTCAATTGTAGGGTATTTATGTGATAGAATAGGTTTGTAAATTCACGTTTGTCAGAATAGGTCGATTGAAACGCGTTTGGTATATTCTGTGATTTTGATGAACTCGTATTTAAGGTGTATCTGGAGTGTGAAGAAGCCCCATAGTTGTTCACTGCTGAAAAGGAACTTAGAAAGAAACGAAAGAGAAAAACATGCAGCAGGGTAATTTGATATATGACCACAGTAACATCCAACTATTCACAGTGGAGAAGGTAAATTAATGGTAAGTCAGCAAATATTTCAGTCCAATAAGAGTCCTACCAAATTAAGATAAAGATGGTTGCGAAAGTGCCCTAGGGACATTTATTACGACTAGTAGCCTTAGATTTCTGGCAGCTTACACAGCAGCGTTCTCACTCCCTCACGTTTTTATTTATATCAGGCCAGCAAAAGCATTGCTCCATAAGCTTGATGGCTTCGCGGCTACATGAATGAGAAAGTTCATGCGACGTATTGATGAGATTGCGTCGATAATGTTTCGGCACAATCGGACGATCCATAACCGTAGATGTGTTACGAAGTATAGTTTCCTCACCTGTTCTCATCTGTCCGATTTGTAGTTTCAGGGTTGTCTATGATAACTCATGCTGCCTGGAAGCTGAGCGAG